GCAGAGAGAGGATGCCAAGGGGAAGCTGATTCTTGAAATGTTCAGGGACTCACTTTCCATTTGAGAGAAGAGGCGAAGGTGAGCAGCAGGTATGCGGGACGGTGTTTTTGTAAATGGGAAGGTACAGAAAGTTCTGTGTTTTCAGTCAAAGTATAAGGTAACATCATCAAATGAGAGCGAGGAGGGATGTTTGAAGTGAAGGTGTGAACAAGTCCTTAAAAGTAGGGGAAGAATGAATGAGACTGGGGTGAACAGAGAATTTTATGAGCCTGCATTTAAAGGGAGACAGGGGACTTTCTCCAGCCTTGAAAGATAAAGTAAATAGGTTATTTTCAGGAGTCGAAATAACGATGCAGCCCAAAGCAGGCGTCACGACCCTGAAGCTAATACGTCACTTACTGCTGGTGGGAGTAAAAGTTGGCATAACCCTTTTTGGAAAGCAATGTATCGGGTTTTTCTTTTTTTTTTCTTTTTTTTTTTTTACCTACATAAAAGGAATTGGGAGGCAGCGACCAAACAAGTTGGAGAATTAAGCCCACCTGCACTCAGATCACGCTGAGCCTTATTAATTCTGTGAGCTTACATCTTTCCTGGGGGAAGAGGTGTCTGGCCAGAACCACTCTATAAAGCACAGTTTTGGAAAAAGATGGCAGTCAAACCCATTGGATGACCAAATGTGAATCTTCTGAAATAAGTCCTAGGTTCATTTTAACATTGCATTCAACCTTTTAAGAACAGGAATGGCAACTTTCACAATTTCAAGCAATTTTCAACAGCAAGAGGGAACTCCACAGGGTATTTTCCAACACATTTTGCAAAAGCTTCTCAGGCACAACATGACTACACTGTTTCCATGAAGATGACTCAACCTCAAGCTCCCAGGTGCCTTTTGGAGCAAATTAAATACTACTTCGTGAGTCCATTACCAACTGCTAGCATCAGAGAGAAGGTCCGAAGGCACAAAATGCATGGCCCGAAGGAAAGACCACATTGCAAAGTGTCTTCAGTGGGGCAGGTGGGATATGCAGTGACTTCAGGTGATCAAGCGGTCTTGGAAAAGAAAGATGGGGAGACAGGAAAGGGACAATGACTGCCTTCTCACAGACAGCAGAAAATTTCAGCTCAGCACCAAAGAAAACAGGAGAGCTGTCAATGGGAACAGGACCAAGACTTGTGAGCCTCCTGGGCAGCCAAGATTTTCCTTGTTCCTGAAGAGGCTTCGCTGCCCAAAGGAAATTTTCCAAGAGCCCAAGTTTTATTTTAGGAGGGTATGTGTCCCCTATCCAGAGCATCCTGTTCCACCACAGGTGACGTGGATGTGCACAAGTGGCTGGATTCATGGTCTCACTCAGCCAAGCCCAGGCAAGTATTAGCCTAGGTTTTATACTCAGCAGCTCTAAGAGTCATTGAAAACATAATTCATGGTGTAGAACAACCTTTCATCACCACGAAAATATGATCCCTCTCCAGTGCCTTGGCGAGAGATCATCAGCTACTTCTGCAGAGTCATCGGAGTAATGGATTAACGATTTCCCAGAATAAGTCTGAGATGACGTACAAACCTACTTCATGGAGAGCTCATCACAGCCAGAGATCTTCCTCTGCTCTTGATAAAGCAAAAGCCCTCATTGATCCTGTCCTGCAGCGGCCAGGCATGACTGGGAAAAGGAACCCGGAGGAGTAAAGTGGTGACTGACCTCCCAAAGTGGGCTACTGTGAGCTACTGGGGTCCAGGAAAGCCAATTCCAGTCTCCAGTGGTGAGAATTCAACCTTAGGGTCCCAAGGACAGAGCCAGGTCATCTTCATCAGCAATACGTTACAAGCAGGAGATTTAACAACAACCCCAGTGCTCCATGGACCTCCACGGGGAGTTTAACCCACTAATGTTCTCAGCTGCATCAGACCTCCTCCAGGTCCACGCCTGGCACCCACACCAAAAGGATGCAATGTATCATTGCAGTTACAACACCACCCATTCCTGTCTGGCCATGTTACCAACATGATCCAGCGAGGGCAAGAATAAAAAGAGAGGGGAGCGAGGGTAGGGTCTGGGGCCAAGGGAACGATGGAGGGTGGTCCATCAGTGTGAACACTCACATTTTGTTTTTTATCAAAAAAACACAATATGTATAGTATGCATATGTATGTGTGTGTATCCT